GCCGGTCAAGGATCTGCACGTCCGGTCCAGGCGTGCAGACCCCAGACCGGCGTCTGGACCGGGCGTCCGGTTCAATTTTTTTTTATTATTTTTTTTAATTATTTATTAGTTAATTTATATTTGGATACGCTGATTTTTGTAGAAGTCGACGAGTAGGCTTCAATTTATTTTTTTATCGGCGCCTGGACCGGAAGTCCGGTTCAATTTTTTTTTTATTATTTTATTTTTTTAAAAAAATATTTATTCATTAGTTAATTTATATTTGTATACGCTGATTTTTGTAGAAGTCGACGAGTAGCCTTCAATTTTTTTAATTAATTAATTAATTAATTAATTAGTTAAGTAATTTGTATATGTTGATATTTGTAGATGTCGGCGAGTTGGCCACACGGACGGGGCAAGGGACCGATGACACGTGGCATGAGACCAGATGGATTTGCTGGAATCGAGGAACCGGTAGATGATACTACTGCACAAAGAGAGGGTAGGACACACAAGCGTAAGGTTACTGGATCTACACGACGGGTCGAGCGTAATTTGCGACTGAGGGAGCCAGAGGCACAGACCGATGAGGATGATGATGATTCACATGTAGGTTTCGAGGGTCAGTATGTTTATCCGGTGCCAGATTTTGGATTAGATGACAATGATGATGGCAATGATGTTGGCAATACCGTTTCCGCATCCCCGACTACTTTGACAGGTGCTGTTGCTACTTCATCTGGTGGTGCTACTCATCGTCGGGGTAGTACTTCGTCCGATACTGTTACTCGTCCGTGGAAATTGACTGGTCCGGCACCTGGTGGACCTACTGACTATAACTTGATACCGAGTTTCGGAGCGCACGTCGCCTATGACATTTGGGAAGAAAAGGTAATATTTATTATATGAATTTTTATTGTCTTTTTTTAAATGCGTATAGTAGATAGTTACAGATAGTGAAGTTACAACTCTTTGCCAAACCTCACGAACGAAGGTAATTCCTTGAGACTTACTGTTACCCAAGCATTGTGCAGCACGACGACCCACATTCCTATTGATATGGAATGTGCATAGAAGGTGATATGACTCTGGGAACACATTCTCTAACCCCTTTATCAGCCCCAATTCCCTATCAGTCACAACGACCCCCGGTACATTGTTTGGGAGGTATAATTTTCTCAAATTGTTCAACGCCCACGTATAATGATCTTCATTTTCATGGCGCATAAATGCCACTGCAACAGTAAAATTCAGACCCTCAGAGCAAACACCAATAATCTCCAACAAAGGCATTTTGTACACATTTGTTTTGTACGTACAGTCAAACAACAAAACGTATGGAAACAGTCTCAACATTTCGACCGACTGAGGGTGTGCCCACATCAGATCAATCACTTCATGCGTAGTTGGATCAGTGCGGATCCACTTATAATACTTATGTTCCTCAAGCAACCCAACCAAATGCGGCATAATTGTATGTCCGCCTCTAGCCTCCTTTTTCATTTTCGCCTTTTCATTGTATATTTGTCTCAAATGCACATCTTGTGCCAAGTTCTTCTCCTTCAAATGTATTAAAATCTTCTTCGGCGGCACATGACTTTTTGCCAACATCCGAGTGATTTCCACCTCCTCTTCAGTCATTTTCGTAGACCCATGCCCAAACAAATGTACGGGATCATGATTATGCTTCCCATATAATATTCTAATTCCCCATCTATCCCCGTAATGTTGCTTTCCCACCAAGTAAAATTTACAATTAATTTTCTTTGTGCCCGACCATCTCTTGTTTGGCACATCTGTGTCTGTTTTACTTGGTCTCTTCACCCCAAATAGATCACAAGTAAGATATGCTCTATTTGAAGGGCTACTACGGCTCACCAACTTTACACCAAGATTCTTGGCGGTCGTTCTCGCCCATTCTACCATCTCAATCCTCGAGTTAAAAAGTTCCGGTACTATAAAATGCTCACTATGATCAACTTCAAATGTAGAAGAATTTTGTTGTTGCTCTTTATGAAATAATTATAAATAAAATAAGGTTAAAGAAAAAAAAAAAAAAAAAAAGTGTTCCGCTCCCAAACCGGACGCGGGTGGCAGTTGTCCGCGCCCAAACCGGACGTGGTTATCGGTTGTTGGCGCCCAAATCGGCCGCGAGGAGTAGTTCTCCGCGTCCGAACCGGACGCGGGAAATACTTGTTCGCGTCCGAAACGGGCGCCGAATACCGTCCCGTGCGTTCGGTTTGGACGCGGATCTAGGTTTTTCGCGCTCAGTTTAGACGCGAGACGTATTTTTGGGCGTCCAACTTGGTCGTGAGTCTTGTTTTCGCGATTTAAAGAACAAAAACGAACAAATTTTACCTCATTGGATTCCGTATCTCGATCCTCATTCGATGCACTCATTTTTTTTTCTTCAAATGGCTACAATAACATGGGTTTTGGAATGATTTCTAATATAAAAGCTAGAATTGTAGAGAGAGAAAGAAAGTAGAGAGTGGATTTTTTTAAACCCGCATTCGTAATTTTGCTACCGCGAATTTCACCTCCCATATTAAAGGGATGGGCTTATTGGTGAAGGAGATATATCCCCTAAACCTAGAATAATAAACATGCTTGGTTGGGGACTTTTGCATAAAAAATATTACAGTAGGGGGATTTTTTTATTTATGTGTAGTATATGAGTATATGATACAAAGTCCATAGTACATGAGTGTTTTTATATTTAACCCTTGATTATATATAGGAAAATATTACAAGGTAATAAAGTTTAACTAGGCAACTGAATCATAACTAATCTAGGTAACTGAATCATACTAAAATCACGATATTACAAGAGTTCAATAATATAATATACTCTAACAACCCCTCAACTATAATCTTCTTACACATTCACCCTTGCGGTTTCAAATTTATTGGAATCTTCTAGATTATACAGAATATTTTCAATTTTGTACCCATTTTTATCCCATTCGAGTTCCGCATTTTGAAGCAAGACGATCATAAGATGTGTTTTTTGTCTTGTATATATCATATCGTGGTGCATCAAAAACTGCATTTTTGCACAAAACAAGTACAAACTAGAGAACATTCCACGGAATCTAGATGAATATATTGAATTTGACACCATAAGGGTGGAAATGTAAGAAGATTCGTAGTTAAGGAGTAGATGTAGTTATCCAAATAAGAGGATTTTTTTTCATAATTTTGATACCTCAGGGTGATTGTAATTCACCCTAATAGAAATCACAAAATGTAGGGACTAAATTGAAACGTTTGAAAACTTAAGTGACCCCTAATCAGATTTTGTTATTCTTGCAACCGACCATGCCCAGTATAAATTTGTGCAATTTTAAAACAATTGAAACAAAACCCAATTCAATAGCCGGCGGCATCACCACCACCAGCCCTAAATTCAATCTCCGCCGCCACGAAGAGAAACCGTTTTTCCCCCAATTCCGTCCGATCAATTGCCGTTCCGGCGGATAAATCGTCGCTTCTTTTAGATTTTATAACACAGCCAGCCGCTAAATTCAATAGCCGGCGGCATCATCACCACCAGCCCTAAATTCAATTTCCGCCGCCACGAAGAGCAGCCGTTCTTCCCCAATTCCGTCCGATCAATTGCCGCTCCGGCGGATAAATCATCGCTTCTTTTAGATTTTAGAACACAGCCAGCCGCTATTACGCCGGAATAGGGTTCAGATTACTTAGTGGATAGGATTTTGGTTGCTGTTAATTTAGGTTAATTTCCCGGGCAAGATGGCTCATACAGGCGGTGGTGCCGAAGAACATGCTCGGTTGAAGCAGTACGAGTACAGAGCTAACTCGAGTCTAGTTCTTGCAACCGACTCTCGCACCCGTGACACCCATGAGCCTACAGGGGGGGCCGAAACTTTGTGGGGTAAGATTGACCCAAAATCTTTCGGTGACCGTGCTTTTAGGGATAAACCCCTCGAGTTGGAGGAGAAACTCAAGAAATCCAAGAAGAAGAAGGAGCGGGAGCCTGGCATAGATGCTGCTCCACCTAGGAGCAAAAAGAGGCGTCTCCAGGAGGAGAGTGTGCTCACTTCATCGGAGGAAGGTGTTTACCAGCCCAAAACTAAGGAAACGAGGGCTGCTTACGAGGCTATGCTCAGTGCTATTCAGCAGCAGTTGGGTGGGCAGCCTCTGAATATTGTTAGTGGTGCTGCTGACGAGATTTTAGCGGTTCTCAAGAATGATAACTTGAAGAATCCTGATAAGAAGGCGGAGATTGAGAAGTTGTTGAACCCAATATCGGTCGCTACTTTTGACGAGCTTGTAAAAACCGGGAGGCTTGTTACTGATTATTATCACGATGCTGGTGATGCTGCTGTCGATAGAGATGATGTTCTTGATGATGATGTGGGTGTTGCTGTTGAGTTTGAGGAGGATGAAGAGGAAGAGGAAGAGAGTGATCTTGATATGGTACCCGAGGATGAAGAGGATGACGATGACGTGGTGGAAGTGGATGGTTCTGGGGCTATGCTGATGGGTGGTGGGATGGATGATGACGAGGAGCATGACTCCCCTCATGGGATGACCTTGAACGTGCAGGATATTGATGCATACTGGCTTCAAAGGAAGATCTCACAGGCGTATGACCAAAACATTGATCCCCGACAGAGTCAGAAGCTTGCCGAAGAGGTTCTCAATATTCTTGCTGAAGGTGATGACCATGAAGTTGAAAATAAGTTGTTGGTGCATCTGCAGTTTGAGAATTTTAATCTTATCAAGTACTTGTTGCGGAACCGGTTGAAAGTAGTATGGTGTACCCGTCTGGCAAAGGCTGAGGACCAAGAAAAGAGGAAGGAGATTGTAGAGGAAATGAAGGGATTAGGACCAAATCATGTTGCAATCCTGGATCAATTGAATGCCACTCGAGCGACTGCGAAAGAGAGGCAAAAGGACGTGGAGAAAAGGATTAGGGAGGAGGCTCGGCGTCTAAAGGACGATGGAGGAGGAGATGGTGTCAGGGACCGTCACGAGGTGCTTGATAGAGATGCGGATGGTGGTTGGCTGAAGGGGCATCGCCAACTTCTCGATCTAGATAGCCTTGCCTTCAACCAAGGTGGCTTGCTGATGGCAAACAAGAAGTGTGAGCTTCCAGTGGGATCTTATAGAAATCATCGGAAGGGTTACGAAGAAGTTCATGTGCCAGCTCTCAAGCCAATGCCTTTAGCTGCTGGTGAAAAGCTTGTGAAGATCTCTGATATTCCCAATTGGGCACAACCGGCTTTCAAAGGCATGAGCCAGTTGAACAGGGTCCAGAGTAGAGTCTATGAGACTGCACTATTCAGTGCAGAAAATATCTTGTTGTGTGCTCCTACTGGGGCTGGGAAAACAAACGTTGCTATGCTCACCATACTTCAGCAGATTGCCTTGAACATGAATGATGATGGATCAATCAATCATAGCAATTATAAGATTGTGTATGTTGCACCTATGAAGGCATTGGTCGCTGAGGTGGTAGGTAACCTTTCTAATCGTCTGGAGCAATATGGTGTTGTTAGAGAGCTGAGTGGAGATCAATCATTGACTCGTCAGCAGATTGAAGAAACTCAGATTATTGTGACTACTCCTGAAAAGTGGGACATTATTACTAGAAAATCAGGTGACCGCACATATACGCAACTTGTAAAACTTCTCATCATCGACGAGATTCATCTCCTGCATGATGACAGAGGCCCTGTGCTTGAAAGTATTATAGCGAGAACTCTTCGGCAGATTGAAACTACAAAAGAGCACATTCGGCTGGTGGGATTATCTGCTACACTTCCAAACTATGACGACGTGGCACGTCTTTTAAGAGTTGAACTTGACAAAGGGCTATTTCATTTTGATAATAGTTACAGGCCTGTTCCTTTGGCTCAACAGTATATTGGGATTACTGTGAAGAAGCCATTACAGAGATTTCAGTTGATGAATGATGTGTGCTATGAGAAGGTGGTCGGTGTTGCAGGAAAGCATCAAGTACTGATCTTTGTGCACTCGAGGAAGGAAACATCCAAAACAGCTCGTGCAATTCGTGAAACTGCCCTTGAAAAAGACACTCTCGGTAAATTCTTGAAGGAGGATAGTGCAAGTCGTGAAATTCTGCAGACTCACACTGAGTTGGTGAAGAGCAATGATCTCAAAGACCTATTGCCATTTGGGTTTGCAATTCATCATGCGGGTATGGTTAGAGCAGATAGACAAATTGTTGAGGAGCTTTTTGCAGAAGGCCACGTACAAGTCTTGGTTTCTACTGCAACTCTAGCATGGGGTGTTAATTTGCCTGCTCATACTGTTATTATCAAAGGCACTCAAATCTATAATCCCGAGAAAGGAGCATGGACTGAGTTGAGTCCTCTAGACGTTATGCAGATGCTTGGTCGTGCTGGAAGGCCGCAGTATGACACTTACGGTGAAGGAATTATCATAACTGGACACAGTGAATTGCAATATTACCTGTCCTTAATGAATCAGCAGCTTCCCATTGAAAGCAAGTTTATTTCCCGATTGGCGGATCAGTTGAATGCAGAAATTGTCCTCGGAACTGTACAAAATGCTAAAGAAGCATGCAAATGGCTCTTGTATACTTACCTTTTTGTTCGCATGATGCGGAACCCTACCCTCTATGGTTTGGCTGCTGATGCACTCAAAAGAGATAAAACATTGGAGGAAAGAAGAGCTGATCTGGTAAGCATATATTTGCTATTTTTACGATTTTACCAACCGCTCTATAGCTTGGCGTTGTAGGTTGTCTTGTATTATTATTATCTCAGATAGTTGTATTTTTTTCGTATACTGTTCAGGTCAATTGTCGTTTTGTCCCCTTTTTATAATAGTTGTAATAATTTAATGTTAGGTTCACTTATACTAGCCCAACCTCTTCAACCTGGCTGACATTCATTGTTATATATCAGACA